TAGGTGTCTATTTACTTGTGACCACTCAGTGTATATATATAGACACACGACAGCAGTCTCGAACATTCCACACACTACTAGACATTATGATGCAACAATACTCAATTAAAGCAATGAAAAAATCCAGAAGATTTGAGTAACATGACATTGAATCATAACAGCTCAACTACACAACATATGATTCCTACACAGTTACATAAACAAACCTGCGGTAAACTATCACTTCTAAAAATAAATAAATTTAACAAGTTGAATATATTTAAACCATCTAAATCATAACTCACGTTAACTTAAACAGTCATGTACATCAAATATGGGGAGAAATCAATTTTACTTGTAAATACCATAGTATTTCAAATTATTTGACCTAGCTATACTATTCAGAGCTGATACTGCTCAAAACTATGCATCTTTGTATGTTTATAAAATATATTATAATTGTTTTTATTTGAAACATATTTAATACAACTGTTTTCTCACCTTATTATAACTGCTTAATCTATTCTTCCTTTCACCATATTTTACTGAAAAAGTAATTTATAAGTTTATAATTTATAAGTTCTAAGTCCTACAGTAAAGAGTTAGTCCCGATATGACACTTACCTTGTTGTGATTTGGATAGACGGAGGAGGAAGAGCATCAGCTGTACAAGAAACAGATTTCGATTGTCCAGTGTTTACTTCCTCATCGGGAGCTACAACAATCTGGGAACTATCTATAACAGTAATTTATAAGCACAGTTCTATGTCCTACAGTAAAGATTTAGTCCTGATGTGACACCTTGTTGTGCTTTGGATAGATGGAGGAGGAATAGCATCAGCTGTACAAGAAACAGATATCGATTGTCCAGTGTTTACTTCCTCATCGGGAGCTACAACAATCTGTGAACTATCTATAACAGTAATTTATAAGCACAGTTCTATGTCCTACAGTAAAGATTTAGTCCTGATGTGACACCTTGTTGTGATTTGGATAGATGGAGGAGGAATAGCATCAGCTGTACAAGAAACAGATTTTGGTTGTCCAGTGTTTACTTCCTCATCAGGAGCTGCAACAATCTGTGAACTATCTATAACAGTAATTTATAAGCACAGTTCTATGTCCTACAGTAAAGATTTAGTCCTACTGTGACACTTACCTTGTTGTGATTTGGATAGATGGAGGAGGAATAGCATCAGCTGTACAAGAAACAGATTTCGGTTGTCCAGTGTTTACTTCCTCATCAGGGGCTGCAACAATCTGTGGACTATCTATAACAGAATCAGAAATTTAATGTTAATTCTACAATATCCACTTTTATGGAAAGGAAACCTGTCACTAACAAGAATTGCACAGATGTGAATGAGAAAATAACTCTTTGGGTTATTATTCATATGTAGATTCAGAGTGTCATACGCATATTTAGAGGCATAACCTAGTTCACAAAAACATTACTATTATGCCATAAAAGCCATTTAGGCAGTTTCTTACATTTTTGTTTTATTTTATAGTTATTTTTATAGTTCGAGATATTTAATAAAAAAACAGAAATGAAAATAATATTGTATTGTTTATCAGAGCAATAATACATACATTAAAAAGAAAAACTTGTCATTTATGAAGCTCTGAAGTCAAACATGTATAAATGGTTCAAATGGTTGTCTGAAGAATATAGTTTGTGGGACAAGAGGTAGCAAAGAAATGTTTTTTACTTATCACACATCTGTAGCTTATCTATTTGTACTTTTCACATTGATAAATCTTAACACTTGTGATTTAGAAATAAAATAAAATTAAGAGCAATCACTGAAACTTCAATGATTTTTATTACTAAATGTCTTTAGCTTCATTCTCAAAATCACTAATAGACTTTCACCGAAGACTACAGCAAAGGAACCAAAAGTTTACATTAATATTTAAATGAAGTAAATCCCCACACTTTCAATATAAACCTTGATATTCTTATTAATATTTGTTTTATTTTTTAACATGTTGATACATTCACTTATATACAATGTATAATGAAAACCATTACCTTTGCTTATAAAAACGTTTAACAGACTTACTCCATTTTAATTCGTCTAGTGAAATAACTGCTGCATAATCTTAGACTACTAAGTTTGTGTTCTAATTATTTCATACCACACTTTCTGATCCTGAGTTCTAATGACAACAGCCCATTCTTTATAAGTCCTCTTTATATACGATTGACAAGAACTATAACTCAACTTACTTTCTGTGCATGTGCTTCCCTTCCATCGTCCTTCACATACACAGCTTCCATCAATTCGATTACAGTGGCCACCATTCTTACATGTACAGGATTTATTACAATTGACACCATAGTGAGTATTAGGGCAAACTACAACAAAAGGAATTTCCAATGATAAAGTATGCTTCTTCTCAGATAAATATAAAGATATAAATTTACAATACAAGTAGGATAGTTAGCTTTTATTACTTGTTTAAACACCTGGTTATGAAACAAAACATAATTATTATAAATACAAAAACTTAATATATATATTTTACATTTTTGGGAGTAAATTTTCTTTCTTCCGCTACTACGAAAAGATGACAGTATTGTTCTATTTACGAATTCATTAACAGAACAGCACTATCATCCTTTTATAGTTCTGGAAAAGTGAAATTTTACCTCCAAAAATACAAAAGATATAATAAGTTTAATAATAGGTTGGCAAACAACGATTTATAAGCATAATTAAGGAAGAGTTATAATGATGGTGGAATATACAACATGTTTCAACAGAAAATTGTCCTGTCTTCTTCAAATATGATTACTTGCACCACTTTTGGTTCATTCCACCTGCTCCACCTGGGAATAACAAAACTCTCAAATGCTTATTTTGTTTGAACATTCGAGAAGTTCCTCAAATAATCATAAAAGGGGTAGAGTCAGATGCCTTTCTCTCAGTTTAATGTGCTCTATGCTTAGATTATTTCTAATATATGCTTTTGTGTGATCGTGACCAATTTAATCTATAGTGTTTTTCTGGCATACAGTTATCTCTTGAGAAGAAGAAAGTAAATTTTAAAGTCTACAAAGAGCCTCTTTCATGTCACAACCCATATATAAAATGTATTTTAAATAATAGTACTCAGAGACTTTTATTCCTTACCAAAAATACCTGTTGAATAAAAGATTAAGCAAAAATTATATTAATCACATACCTCATCAAGTACTCATGTATATCACTTACTTTACACTTATACAAAACCATTAAATATATTCACAACAGTACTTCATAGAGCTCAATATACTGTATAAATATATGCATCATGTCGTGAGTTATCAGTAATTTTAAACAGATGTAATTATTTCTACATGTTAGAATTTTATGAAAATGAATATTAATTATATTGTTTGTTTCCTTTGAATTTCGCGCAACGCTACACGAGGGCTATCTGCACTAGCCATCCCTGATTTAGCAGTGTAAGACTAGAGGGAAGGCAGCTAGTCATCACCACCCACTGCCAACTCTTCGGCTTCTCTTTTGCCAAGGAATAGTGGGATTGACCGTCACATTATAACGCTCTCACGGCTGAAAGGGCGAGCATGTTTGGTGGGATGGGGATTCGAACCCGCGACCCTCAGATTGTGAGTCAAGTGTCCTAACCACCTGGCCATGCCGGCCATTAATTATATCAATCATTCACTAGTTCATTATGTATTCATTACCAATCATATTTTTGAACTAATCAAGTCCTTCCTTCAAATCCTTACTCCAACTAAGATCTTTGTTTGTTGATTTCATATACATTTAAAATATGATTGAGCTGAGATATCTATTAAAGTTGTCATCAAAACAAATTTCAAATACAGTTCATATAGACTTTACATTATCATCTTAATAATAATGTAACAATATTTAACTCACAGAATGTACTTGTTTGAGTGTAAAAATAAAGTTACAGCCCATTTTCTGAAAAAGGAAAAGAAGATTTGTTTAGTTGCTTTTGTTTTTAAAATGCAATGGCTCTTTAGTGTAATTCTGTTAATATGTTTATCAGTCTTTATCTTCTAGATAACTATTTAAAAATCAGTCTGCATTTTAATATATATATATATGTGTGTGTGTGTGTATCATATTCAAGTACGCATGACCAACAGAGATTTATAAAGGAGAAAAACCCACCTCATATTAACTTGTACAAATTTCAGTACCTGCTGTTGAAAGGATGGCATGCCAACAGAAACAGGATCAACTTACTGAGCAATCATTATTGTATGTAATCTTTGGCTTAGGCAAAAGAGATTGACACAAGTTTCCAGCCTTTGTACATGTGGTTTACAAGAATGTCACTAACTACATACAGGACACATGCACAATAAAGTTGCAAAAATTTTACAAAGATATATGTTACGAAAGCTATGTAAGGTGTGAAATTAGCAGTTCTTTCAATTGCATCATATCATACTTACAGGTTTGGCAGTTTTCCCCCATGTATCCTGCTTCACAATCTCCTTCACAACTTCCAGTAATCGTATCACAAACCCTAACACCTTCTTTACAATGGCAAGAGTAAGCACAGTTTTGTCCAAACCACCCCTGGTTGCATTCTTGTACATGGAAGTTAAAACAGTCCTTGTTTGATATTCTAATTCTAAAATTATACAACCTAAACCAAACATTATACAACTTTTTATATAAACAATTCAACATACAAACCATTCAAAAGTTTTACGTAAAACAGCTTTTCTACTGCCAGAATACTTATAGTATAATGTAAATTCCTTATCAATACCAAATGTGATGTACTAGTATTAAGCAGACAAACTGTGCTAAATAAAATAACGAGGAAAATTTTCAATCACCAATAAAGTAACCTAAAATACTTT